CTTACTTGTCATATATATATATATATATATATATATATATATATATCTTTGCATTTGTTTAACTGCCCCCCTGCCGCTGTATTGTCTCCTTCACTATGCGTGCGTGTGTGCGTTTCTCCGCCTTGCTATTCTATTTATTATTCTTCTTTGTTCTTCGTCCTGCGCTTGCCTGCGTGCTGGATAGGGCCACTCTCTGGATTGCGGTTGGGCAGCGGCTGTGGTGGCCGGGTGGGAGGGAGGGGGCGTGTGTGGGTGCTTGGCCGGCTGCGAGGCCGACGAATTACACATGGAGACTACGTTGCGCACGTTTTGCATCATCCCACACGAGGCCCGTGACGATGAATTTTTTGACGCCGTCTTCGAAGACGGGGTGCGTGCGTTGTCTCAGGGTCGCTTGCACTCCCTCTTTTTTTCACACGTCCTGAGTCCGGCGCACGACATTGCCGGCCACGTTGTGGGGCCGCTGCTGAACAAAGTGCGTCAAGGCGGCAGCGTCGCCCTCATCGTGGCGCTGCCGGAGGATGAAGCAGACGGGGTTGGCGCTGGCGGTGCGGGCGCCACCTCGGGCGAGAAGCTGGAGGTTTCGCTTGAGCTCTACGCCCACCTGTTGCCGCTGCTGTTCCGTAGCGCTGAGCGCTGCTGCTTTGCGCGGGTGTCGGCCATCACTTTTAGCGTGCAGGAGAAAAAGATGCACGACCTGCTACAACGCTGTGAGCTGCGTAGTGAGGGCGATGCGCAGCATCAGTTGTTAGAGCGTGAGGGATCGTCCTCGAGGTGGGGGGCGATTATGAAGCTGCTGCATGAGCGGCATGCGCAGTTGGAGCGGGGTGGCGTAATGCCTCTGGAATCTCTGTTGGTGGTGCGGGTGGAGCTTGAGGGCTACGGCACGGTTGTGCTCGCGGAGGTGGGCTGTGGGCGGAAAACACTTGATCAGCTGACGCTGTTTCTTCGCAGCGGTGGAGCGTGTGGCAGCAAGACGTATCCGCCACGGGGCCTGCTCTCGAGCAGCCTGCGCGGCATGGCGCCACCAGCAGCGTTGGTGCACGTTGTGGGAATTCCGGATCCGGCGCCGGCGCCTCGCAACACGATGCGGCTTCTTCGATTTATGTCTTCGATGTCGCATGCGCCTGCCGCAGAGTCGACGGAGTTCTCGTTGCGGACCCGCGACGCACCGCAGCAGGAGCAGAAGCCGCGGCAGTCTGATGCCACCAGCCCGTCACCGGTGTATTCTCCCTCTGTTGATGCGGCGGATGCGAAGCCTGAGGTTGCCGGCGCTGCGCCTGCGTCTCGGAGGCTGGCTCGCCCCTACGCCTGGACGGGGGAGCTGTTTGTTGACCCCTCGCAGTGCGCGCATGCGCCGCCGTCCCGAGAGTACGCCACCAGCACCCCCACGTGGGACTGGGGCGTCACTCGTCCCGAGCCGCCGTGCCGTGACGCAGCCCGAGCCGCGTTGTCAGGCGCCACGGCGACCCCCGTGGAGGACGCGCTCGCCATGGGGGCCGTGCCGCGGGCGTCACGGGAGCAGGCGCTCGTGAATAGGACGACGACCCTGGACCGCGCAAACCGCGAACTCTCAGAGGCGCTAGTTGCCGCCAAGGCGGAAATTAAGCATTTGCAGAGCTTGCAGCAGTCCTGTCAGGAGCTCCTACGGCAGAAGCAAGACACAATCTTTTCCCTGACAGCATCCAGCGAAAAGGCGAGGCAGGACAACGTAGGTTACACGAAACTGGTCCCAAAGCTACTGCGCAAGATCAGAGGGCTCGAGAAGGAGCGGGAGACGTTGCAGCAAACTTTGAAGGAGTGGGAGAACCAGAGCAAAGAACTGCAGGAAAACAACCGCCGCCTTCGGGCGGAGCTGCAACGGCAACAAAGAGAGATGAAGTGCATGACAAGAAAAGAAACCCAGCGTGTTAGAGAGCACGCCCTGCTTCGTATCGGGAAGGATGGCGGAGCGAAGGGGAGCGCCGAAAAGGTTGGTGGCGGGACTACTTCCCCGAAGCGTGTTCGCAGTGTGGCGGCGTCGCCTACGTCCGACGCCAGTAGACGATCCAGAAGCGGAGGCGCGGCGGAAAGGGATGGAAAGAATGGCTCAACACTTCTTGGTGCGATTGAGGAGCTGCGGCAGCGCAACACGGCACTGGAGGCGGAGGTGCAAACGCTTCGACGGGGGAGACCTGTCACGGAGAATCCTGCAGGGGACCATGCAAGTGGAGCAGCAGCGGCGGCGGCGGCAGGTGGCGAGCAGGGGGTGATGTTTACCGCCTGTGAGACGATGCGGGAGCACCTTTGCCGCCTCACGGAGGAGCTCCACCGCAGCTACGAGGAAAATGGGCAGCTACGACGCCTCGTGTCTGATCGATCCCTTGTCTCATCGCACTCGCCGGCAACAGCGCGGGATGACGTCGTGTCGGTGGTTGCCGCCTCGCTGGTGGCCGGGTGCGAGTCGCTGTGTGCGCAGCTAAAGCACATGGAGGCGGAGGTTCATCGCAAGGAAAGCAAAGGCGCAACGCAAACGTTGGCGGGTGGCGTTTTCCACGAGCACGTGGAGGCGGTGGCAGCACTGGGGGCGGCGGTGCGGGACATCGGTGGTCGACGGTATCGTGGGGCGGAGAATTACGAGTCGATTGTGCCGGCGAGCGCCACCGCCGCAGACGCAGAGCACTTGTCAAGTCTATTGTCATTTGAGTTGGAGCGCGAGACACATTTGCGTGCTTTTGTGCCCACCTTTGCGCAACTTTCTGTGGCGACCGAACACCTCAAAATGCGTGTTTTTCCCTCAGGGAGTTGAGGTGGCCTACCCGTTCTCGTGTAGTCCATCTTCTTCCGGCTTTCTCATAGAATATGGGATGAGATTGGTGAAAACAAGTTTCTGCGTATGCCGCGGCTCTGCCGCAAAGAGCTTTGTTCTCCCCCTCCCCCCAGTTGTGCTGACTGTTTACCAGTTTTTTTTGTTTTTTTTTGTTTTCTCCTTACTTTGTACGCCACTGACGCTACTTGTACTTTTTCATTGTCCTACACGCCGTGCCTCATTGGCGCCCGTCCCCCAGGGCGGCTGATCCGGGGCGCACCACGGCCCGTGTTTGCGTGAGATGGCGCCTTTTTTTTTTCTTTGCCTCTTTTCCTCCATATTGTTTCTTTCGCTCTTTGAGGTCGTTGCTTCTTGCCCAGCCAGGTGGAGGTTGCGGGGCTGTGGTTGTCCTCGCAGAAAGACTAATATATATATTTTTTTGTCCTTAAAAAAAAAAGTTGTTGTTCTTCTTCTGCACGGCGCCGGCCATGTGGAGCGTTGTGGATGCAAAACAGCGGTCCTCCAGGCGGCGCCGGGAAACGTCCGCGGCAAAGCAAAAACTGGCAGATGCCGTCTTTGCACAGGCCCCACCGGTTTCCCCTCAAACGATTTCGGCGGTGGTGCGTGACCTCCGTCGGACGTCGGAGGCGCTACGAGGAGTGATGTTCGTCCGCCGTGACGTCTTGGCGCCGCTGCGGCAGTTCTTAGAGTCGCACTGCGAAGGTTGCGCACGCGTCCATCTCATCGCACTAGGCATCGGGCCGTTTTCCAGGCAGGAGTCGCGCTCGGGCTTCCTGCAAATGGCCCTCTTCTTGGCCTTGAAGAAGGAGTGCGAGGGTGCCTTGCGACGACGGTCAACGCCTCCGGGGCCCGCTGCCGCCGTTCGGGCGCGAGTTGACGCTTCCCCAGGCACCAAGGCAACGGGCTTTTCTTGCGAGGGATCGTCTGCTCTATGCACGAGTTTTTTTGATCCCGCGGCCGGAGAATTTCACGCTTGTTGCTGCGAAAAGTTGGGGGTGCGGGTGGAGACGGAGAACCGCTGTGGCGCGTACGCGCCTGCTGATCCGCACGCCCTCCTCATCGCGTACCTTCCGCACTCGCCGTGGGCGCTGCTTCGCAATCTCCTCGCCTCCAATCTTTTGCCGTGCCGCGACTCCGCTGCCGTGGGACAAGTGGGGCAGCTGCGTTCCACGCTGGTGATCGGAAACGATCTCCGTGGGAGGGCACCTCCGACCGACGACTTCATGGAGAAACTTGTTCCGTATTTGCGTTTTGGCAGGCTGCGGGCAGAGCTCGAGCGGGGCAAGCTGCGGTGCGTGGACGAGGCTGAGGAGCTGGACGGCGCCACCCCCGGCGGGCCGAGGGGGCTTAGTCGGAATGACGTTGGGTGTGCCTTTTCTGACACCGCCGTCATGCAACTAAATACGGAGCTGGAGGCCGAGCTGTTAGAAGCGCTACCGCGGCTTCGTATTCCACCACTTGTCTGCGGCGGCCCCGAGGTGGTGAGCTGAATTCGTGCACTTGTCTTTGTGGGTGGGTGTATGGGAGCCGGCAAGAGGGCGGGGGAGAAGTGGGCGTCCTGTGCCTTGAGTGGTGTGCCGTACAGGTTACGCACATCACTGTCTTCTTGTTTCCCTTGTTATTGCCGTTGGTTGCAGGTTTTTACCCAAAGAACTGACAACGTCAACGAAAACCAAAGGAAACTTCTGATTGACGCGATGACACTTATATTACACACACACATACATGTGTATGCATATATTCTTTCTTTGAGTCGCCACCTGTTTTATGTGTGCATGCGGTTTTCTTTTTCCAAGGCGGTCTAATTCTTGCTTGCGGGTCTTTTTTCTTTTCTTTTCCTTGCCGTTCTTGCGTTGCGTATGTGTTGTAGCCAACAATGACGGCCACCCCTGACTACTTCCACTGTATCAGGGAGCCGCGGTTTCGCGCCAATGTGTACGAGCCGGAGGCCGACACGTTTTTGTTGCTTGAGACGCTTGACAAGGACGCGGACCTGCTCCGCGCACTGCGGCCGCGTCGCTGCGTGGAGATTGGCTGCGGCTCGGGGACTGTAATTACTCACCTGCAACTCGTGTTGGCTGGTGCCTCGGGGGGCGCGAGTGGGGCACAGGAGGAGCGGCGATTGAGCAGCAACAGCGGCAGCGCGTGGCGAGTACAGTGCCACGCAGTCGACATAAATCCCGTGGCGTTGGAGGCAACTAGTATTACATGGAGAACGTCGCTGCAGCGTCTATGGGGCGCTGCGGCTCCTCCGCTGCAGCTTCACCATGGGGACCTGTTTGCCCCTTTCCAGCGTGACTGCACAGAGGGCCGGCGGGCGGCAGCGGCCGCAGACTTCGACGTAATTCTTTTCAACCCGCCGTACGTTCCAACCAGCGCAGAAGAGCTGGAGAGTGCAGGGAAGGAGGGGAGCTTCATTGCGGCAGCGTGGTGCGGCGGCCCACGCGGAAGGGTGGTGGTGGATCGGTTTGTTGCTCAGCTCCCCCGTTTCCTCTCCGCCGGCGGCGTCTGCTACATTGTTGCGATTGCCCAGAATGACGTGCCCGGGCTGATGGAGACGATTCGCGCCGCCTTCGCGGGGGCGGCACAAGCCGCTGCCGAGGCCGTGGTGGAGGTCGCGGTTGCCGCAGAACGGTACACCGGGGAACAGTTGAAGGTGATCCGAGTGCAGCGGGGGGCCCGGCACAATTCCTGACGGCGGAGCACGAGTCGGTGTATTATTATTATTATTATTATTATATATATATATATATATTTTTCCACCTCGCTGGTGGGCTGCGTTTATTCGGCGTCGCATCGAAAGGAATTTCGTACGCGTCTCTCATGTTTCGTGTGTGCGCGTGCGCTCCCCGTAAAAATGCCGAAGTGGCGAGGCTAGAGAGGGGTTAAGGGGGGGGGGAGAAAAAGCAAACAGATCTTGGGGATAAGTTGTAAAGAAGAAG